TTCAACTGGTCATCATCATCATCATCATCATCGTCGTCTTCATCATCATCATCATCATCATCATCGTCATCATCATCGTCATTGTCGCTCACACACACTCACATACATGACACACACACACACAACCACAATCACACACAACTCGGCACTCAAACAACAAAACAACTTTGAGACGTAATTTGAGATCATTTATTATATACTAGAATGGAAGTGGATTTTGGAAAGTGAGAGAGAGAGAGAGAGAGAGAGAAAGAAAGAGAAAAAGAGAGAGACCAAGAAAGAAAGAGAGAGACCAAGAGAAAAAAAATCGAGAAAGAGAGACAGTGAAAGAGAGAGAGAGAGAGTGAAAAAACGAAGAAAGAGAAAAAAGAAAGTAGACGAAAAAAAGATAACGCACAATTAAAAGCATATGGAAAAGGCGAGACAAATTAAAAATACACACAAAAAATTAAATAAAACAGAAGCCAACATGATGATTCAAAAAAGATAACAGAAAATGAGAGCAAGAAGGAATAAGGAATAAGAGAGAGGAGAAAGAGAGAGAAAGAGAGAGAGAGAAAGAGAGAGAGAGAGAAATGTATATATATATATATATAGAAAAAGTTATACAGAGTGAAAGAGAGAAAGGAAAAAGAATGAGTCCTTAAAAGCTTTTTTACCCGCAATGGAATTCTGCTTGTATTTTTTTTAAATCAAAATTCTGGTCCCGTTACTTCATGCAATGAGTTATTTTTAATTTTTAAAATTAACGAACAATCAAAATAACAAATACCACTAGTAGAACTTCTATTGCTACTACTTCTACTACTACTAAAAGTAGCGTATATATATATATATATACATATATATATATATATATATTTTTATTTCATCAAATCAAAACAAAGAAATCAAAGAAATGATATCAATGGAAAGAAATGATCTGGAAATCGAAAAGAAAATATGTAATAAAATTCTCTTGTAATAAAAATTATTAAATTATATATATATATATATATATATATATATATATATATATATATATATATATATATACACACATGTATTTCTTCGCTTTAATTTCAAAAGCAAGGAAATGAATTGCGATTTTCAAATGCTTCCTTGTATTAAAAAAAATGTCTGAAATAAATTATAATATACATATGTATATATATATATATATATGTATATAAATGTCTGAAATAAATTATAATATATATATATATATATATATATAGATATGAATATATATATATATATTTATATTTACATATTAAAGATACATATGAAATATATATAAATACGTATGTATGTGTGTATTGGTATCAAGAAACAATGGACAAATGAGTTTTAAATATTAAAATGTAATATCATAACAATATAGACCTACACACACATAGTTTAAAATATATTAAAAATTGTACGAGTGTGTGCGTGAGCGTGTGTGCGCTTGTGTGTGTGCGTGCATCTCTTTTAAATGTATTTCATTGAGTTGAGAATCCCCATCATATTTTGATGCATTTGTTGAATTCAAGCTGTGCGATGTCCAGAAATTATATGCAATTTCCTCTCATTTATACACATACAAACACACCACTCACTCACTCACTCACTCACAAAAAAAGAAAAAGAAAGAGAGTGAGAGAGAGAGAGAAAGGGAGAGAGAGGAAAAAAGAAAAGGTAAATATGTATGTATAAACGCATCGCGCGTACATTACGTAAGATAGACAGAGATTACACATGCATTTGGAGCCGGTTATTGCAATGCAAGACTAGGTAGGTTTCTTCGAACATTAAATAAACCACTGCCCGCCCAGTTGCAAGGATCTTTAGATGTTCTTATGCCTTAATTTTAATCTAATATAACATTAGCAAATATTTTGGGTTTTCATTGTTATGCTACCTCAAATGCATACATTACATGTATCAAGTAAAATGATGCAAGGGATAAACATCTAGTTATATTTTCGTGATATTTGTTTTATGTATGTATATAGAGTGTTAGTTTGTATGTGTATGCATGCATGCATGTGTGTGTTTATGCGTGTATGTATGTATGTTTGTGTGTGTTTATGCGTGTATGTATGCATGTATGTATGTGCTTATGTGTGAGTGTTTATGTATGTTTGTACGTACGTATGTCCGTTTATGTATGTTTTCCTTTTTGTTTGCATGTTTGTTCAGCTTCGTACGTCATCATTGTTTGTTCTGACGTCACTCAGATGGGATGAAGGTTCAAGTGTGTGCAAGTGTGTGTGTATGTGTGCGTGAGTGCGTGTGCGTTCGTGCGTGTGTGTGTGCGTGTGCGTGTGTGTATGTGTGTCTGGAAGTGCTTTTGTGGTTTCAGATGCTCGTATGAATTAGTTTGCTTGTTTGTGTTCTTGTACGTGTGTATGTTTCTTTACGTTCCGTTGTGTTTGTATGTATATTTGTATGTATCTTTTTATACGCGTTTGTTTGTATGTTTTTATATGTCTGTCTGTTTTGTATGTTGCTTATGTTTGTATGTGTATAAGTTTGTATCAGTGAGAATCAGTGAGAATGTTTCTAAATGTGTTTTCTGGTGTGTGCGTGCGTGTGTGTGCGTGCGTGTGGTGTGGTGTGTTTTGTTATTATAACTTGTGTTTGTAGACAAGGTGTAAAAACGTTCCACTAGATTTTTGGCAAAGTTTATATTTATAATACAATTTAATGCAATTTCTGGCAAATATGCTTTTCATTAATTTCAACTAAAACAAAAAAACACACACACACACGCATACCTAAGCAAGATTCTAAACAAATTTAAAAATACACAAACTACATAAACTTACTTACATAAAATTAAACATTGATTCAAATTACCTCATATAATACAGTTAAAAGTACAATACATTTATTCATACCAAAATACCTTATAATAAATAAATGAAATAAACCTATAAAAATGTATGTTTGTTTGCGTGTGTGTATGCTTGCATGTGTATGTATGTATGTATATGTGTCTGTGTGAGTAGGTGTGTGTGTATGTATGTATGTGTGTGGGTGTGTGTCTATGTATGTTTGTTATAGTGTTATTTGTGTGTGTTGTGTGTGTGTGTGTGTGTGTGTGTGTGTATGTGTGTGTGTAGATGGATAGGTAGTAAGTAAGGGTAGAGTTGAAACATAATAAACTTCACGATGAAGTCCCAGCTTTATTTTATCGCTACTGTGTTTGAAGAATTGTTAATGTAATTAATTATACCATAATAACTTTTGTATTTATTAGTACGTTAACAGCTGTAGGGCCTTTTGTATACTTTTTGTATTTGTGATAATTTTTTCATACAACGGTTATTATTATGTAAACCAGGAGTGGGCAAACTTTTGATGTAAGGGCCGCCTTTAGAAATATACTACCTTTGAAGGGCCGCATATGTATTTAAATAGCAAATTTTTTCGACAGGGGGGAGAATTTTTTATGATTTGTAGTTTTTTTGGTCATAATGTTTGGCTGACCAGGTTTTTTTTGGGGGAGGGAACAAAACCTCACGGGCCGCATGCGGGACCGTTGTTGGCCCACCACCCCTGGTGTAAATTGTATTTTTTTTTAGTATTTTTTTTTGGTATGTTTATCATTGATATCCAACTAATTCATTTTTGTTAAGATCGTTTCAACTTATATACTTATAACTTATTTGTGTTGGGTGTGCACACACATATTCACACACTCACTCACACCCACACACACACACACGACCACAGAAGATGGAAGCAAAGACAAGTGAATACCGTAAGAACAAAGAATAATAATTACTTCTCGGCATCACGTGTCAGGCTTTATTTACAGTTCTATGCATGTCTCTATTATCGCTCGCCTTCACTATTTTGTACTCTTATTATCCATTATGTGTGCTTGTGTGTATGATTGTATGTTTGTGCGATTTTATGTTTGTGTGATTGTATGTTTGTGCGATTGTATGTTTGTGCGATTGTATGTTTGTGTGATTGTATGTTTGTGTGATTGTATATTTGTGTGATTGTATGTTTGTATGTTTATAACGCCAAACATAGGTATGATGATGAATCAAAATCATTTGTTGGATCAATGTAAATAACAATAACACCATACATCTTAACCGTTCTATCGCCACCTCGTCGCCAACTTACTTGCCACCACCGACCACAGAGTCATTCTTCAAATTAATTTAATTAATTGAAACTTCTGATAATAGGAATTTAATTGATCTTTCTCTACTCAATTTAATCTGCGCTAAATGCATGTATCTAGTTTAAAAAAAAACACACAAACAAAAAATTACAAAAATACAAACGTTAACATACAAACAAGCAAACAAACCACAACCTGCATGTACCTAGTTTTAAGCAAAAACATACAAACAAACAAATACAAAAATACAAACGTTAACATACAAACAAGCAAACATACCACAACCTGCATGTACCTAGTTTTAAACAAAAACATACAAACAAACAAATACAAAAATACAAACGTTAAAATACAAACAAGCAGACCAACACAATTGAAATCATTGTCCACTTCATAACCTTTAGAGGAGTGAGTATGGTGGTGCGAAGCATTAAGATGATGAAATCCACTATCACTTCAAATTTTGTGTGTGTGTGTGTGTGTATGTAAATGTTTGTGTGCGTGTATACATACTTCATACCTACATACATACATACATACATACATACATACATACATACATACATACATACATACATACATACATACATACATACATACATACATACATACATACATACATACATACATACATACATACATACGAAACGAAACGAAACGAAACGATCTTTTATTTGCTTCCCAAAAATAATAATTAAGAAGGCAGGATGATTGTGATCGAGCTCATGATGAGCTCATCTTGCACAGCCACCTTATCACAAATAAAACAGATGTAAGAAAATTAGAAAAAATGTTTTCAGTTAGCTTAATTAAAGTCATATTCTGTAAATATATATACACGTACATACATATATACATATATATACATACACATACATATACGCATACACATACTCATATATAAATCATCGAGATCAACAGAACAATGTTACATTAAATAATCATTTAATGTTAGTTTGAATTTATAAGTTTACAATTCAATTTGGTTACAAAATTTAATGTCAATTGAGTTTACAATACATATATATACATACATATATACATACCCATATATACATACATAAACAAATATATATAAATCAAATATTAACAAAATAAATTTTATCCATGTACGTACATATACACTCACGCAGACACACATATATGCC